GATAGTGGAATAGGGGATAATGGGAGGGGATGGAATGGGAATGGGATGATAATGGGATAATAATGGGAGGGGATGGAAGGAGATGATGGGATAATGGGATAATGGGATAGGATAGGATGGGATCCATGGGATAACGGGATGGGGATGAGAATGGGATGAGAGGATGATGGGATAGTGGGATAATGGGATGGAGATGGGAATGGGATGGAAAACAGATGGAAAAGGAGAACCCTCACCCGCCCAACTCAACTTCCCAAATATTCCACGCCCCCTCCCCATCCCTATTTCCCCCTTCCCACCATCCCATCCCGGAATCCCGCTCCCTCACCTGTGGACGCAGTTGATGGCCTCCAGGTAGGCCAGGGCCTTGCTGACCTGCAGCGCGTACAGCACCAGGGTGGGCACGGCCAGGCCCAGCCGGTTCTGCTCCAGGTACTGCCCCAGCTGCAACCAACATGGCAACATTCCCGGCGGGATCAGCGCCCGGGAACGCCGGGAAGGGCTCGGGGAATGCTGGGAGGGGCTCAGGGAATTGGGTGGGGGTGGCACCTCTCCGTAGGGATAGAGCTCCATGATGATCCAGGTGGGCTCGTCCTCGGCGATGCCGATCAGCTTCACGATGTGGGGGTGGTCCAGCTTCTTCATCAGCACTGTGGGAATGGGGGAATTCCCACCCCTGGAATGCCGGGAATCCCAATCCCCATCCATGGCCAATCCCATCCCGATCCGAGGATCCTTGGATCCTGATCTCTCCAACGTTCCCAGGATCCACGGATCCCGCCCTGTCCATCATTCCAAGGATCCACTGATTCTTGGAAAGGGATTCCTCCCCAGGAGGAAAAGTCTGGGATTTCCCAAAGGGGTTGGAGCTCCTGGATTTTAGGGATCGTCATCCTCATCCAAGGATTCCAGCAGGGATTCCCTCCCTTCAATTATCCCTTCCCATAATTTGGGGGTTTTTTTGGGATCCTATCCCAGGTTTCCAGGTATGGATCAACTCTGTCTTCCTCCATCCTGAATTTCAGAGAGATTGCTCCCAAAAAGCCACGGGGAGACACCAGGACAAGGTTGTGCCATCTCCCACCCCATGTCAGCCCTGGACAGGATCTTATCCTAAAGAAATCCTGGCAGGACCCTCGAGATCCCAAAAAAACCC